CAGCACACGCGAACTAAAAGTTATCAAAGTGTATGAATACAAATTCATCGCTCCTCTGTCTTCAATAGTAGACAAAGCAAGACTGAGAAAAGGGCATGTTTGTTCCGCTATGGCTGTCTGCCTTGACAGAAGATTGCTGTTAGGTGACTCCTGAATAACGTAGGGGCGGGTTAAGTTAAAGTTTTCCATAGCCCTTTCAGAATAATATTTGCGTAAGCCTGAATTTGCGTTAAGTCGGGGTCTATGTGCAATGTGAACATTATCACAAGAAGATTTGCCAAATTGTAACCATTTCTGCTTTCTTCAAATGGTTCTGCTTTAGGCACCGCCACGACACAGTTCGGTGCATTGTCAGTGTCTTGACGGACACGAAGAACCCGGAAATAGCCTCGGAATTCATGCAGCAGTCCCAGCAGCCTGAGTCTATGACGTCCTTCCAAGACGCTGGCTGGCTGACGGACCTCGACGCCCCCGCGGACTGGCAAGAATGGAAGCCGGACCCGATTGATGCAAAGCCAGGTATTTTTCGTTTCTGCTAATACATCTACGCCAAGATTAACGCACCCCATTAGTACAGTTCATGAATCGGGTACTTTCTCCATATTCCGGTCGGTCTGTTAACATAGTTCTAGTTTTATAAGACTCCTGCTGTTTGCCATGAGTACTGAAAATACTGCATGCTGCGGGCCCATATATTTTTTAGCAATGAGCGCTGAGCGCCACTTGGTTTACAGACTTGTCTATTTTGAGGTCCTTCCAGAAGATGTTTAGCAGTTTTTGTAACGCCTCATATCAAAATCTTCGATAGATTTTAGTCATGAGAGATTTTAGTCATTAGATAAGAGACTTGACATATATCAGCACGACTAGCATCCATTTCCGCCATCAACCTCTAGTGTGACAAATATCTATTATCATAGTTGTCTTCAGTGCGCAGTCACTATAGTAGCCAAAGATCCTCAACGGAAATGACAAATGCTGATGAAAGAAAATACACTGTAAGAGACCTTACAGTGGATCGGACCTGTACCTCACTTTCACGCTGTTGTTTCTTCTATTAGTTTTTCTTTTCATTACTCAATCTTTTGTATTCTCAGGCGTATACTCGACTATAACCTTCGATTATCTACGAGAAGTCAGTTTATAATTTACCTTCCTTAACTTCAGTTTATATAACAAAATAAATGTTTACAAAGCTGTTAAATTTTAATTGCAGTCTTTCCCGCTTCTCGTCATTTGGTTAAAACCGCAGTTTAAAAAGGCATAGTTAGTTAGTATATTAGCATTTTGCTGGAATTTAACTTCGTGAGTTTTAAAGCAAATGTTTTATTAATTATTTTAAGAGAAAATTTTTATTTTTATATTTTCATCCGCTTTGTCGTTTTTTAGAGTCGCAGTCAAAGTCGCGTCGTACCGCCGATTTTATCAGCATGCTGGTTAACGTGTACGGTAGTAGAGAGC